TCCGGGTCATGTGGCCAACATGACTAAACCGCTCCTGGTGAACCAGAGCAGCACACGGAAACGCCGTTTACCTTCCCGCCAGGGAGGTACCTATTTATCTACTTGCACTTTGACGTGCTTTCGAACTGCTAGGTTGGCAGGAGCAGGGACCGAGCAACGGGAGCTCACCCCGTCACAGTGATTCGAACCACCGACCTTCTGATCGGCAAGTCCTAGGCTCTGTGGTTTAACCCACAGCACCACCCGCGTCCCTACCTCTTGCATATGGGTTGGTTATTTGACATAGTATGTGAACCTGGAATGCAGAGAACATAAGAAGGATCCAGATCAAGCAGGCCACAAGACAGTCTCCTGTTTCTCATAGTGGTCAACCAGATGATGATAAACAACAGCAATAACATTCTATTAGTCACCTTCCATAAACATTTCAAGACTAGGGTTGCCATACATCGGAAACAGTGTCTGGGCAGAAATCACTGAAATGTCTGGGTAGTGTAGATTTTGGCAGGGGGGGAAAGCTCAACAACTTTTGTGTCTGGATTTTCACTTTCTGAAATATGGCAACCCTACTCAAGATGATGTACAAAATTCAATAAAAGCTGCTAAACCAGCTAAAAATCACAAAATAACATCAGATGGAATACAAAGTAGACATCCATGGCAAAGCCTTGTTCATCTGGCTGAGAAAGCTTGTCAGAACAGAAATGTATTCCTGTTTCTGGAGAGTGCAGACAGTGAGCAACTGTCAGATCTCAACATGTATGTTCTTCCAAAGAACAGGGGCAGCCGCACTGAAGGTCCTGCTCCAAGTTACTTGGATTCCTGTGGGAAGTCCCAAAGCATGAAATGCAGGCAATAACCCCCTCCTGCTGTTGTCCCCCAGCACCTGGCATTCAGGGAAAGCTGCCTCTGATCCTGTATGGATTGGATGTGCATGCAAAGTTTTACTGCTATAAGGTAAAGGTAAAGGGACCCCTGACCATTAGGTCCAGTTATGGCCGACTCTGGGGTTGCAGCGCTCATCTCGCTTTATTGGTACAGCTTCCGGGTCATGTGGCCAGCATGACAAAGCCGCTTCTGGCGAACCAGAGCAGCACACAGAAACGCCGTTTACCTCCCTGCCGGAGCGGTACCTATTTATCTACTTGCACTTTGATGTGCTTTCGAACTGCTAGGTTGGCAGGAGCAGGGACCGAGCAACGGGAGCTCACCCCGTCACAGGGATTCGAACTGCCGACTTTCTGATCGGCAAATCCTAGGCTCAGTGGTTTAACCCACAGCGCCACCCGCATCCTTTACTGCTATACTGTACCTCAATTTGCACATGGTTGCAGAATGTAGTTTCTAGGCAGATCTGACTTGCGACTTGGACTTTGCAGATCCCAATATTTGTTTCCCATTCTATAGAAGCAATGCAAACTAATTCCAAAGGGATACCAGCCTCCTGGTTGCTTGATATACTGCAGTCTGCCTTCATTTGACATGAATCCCAACTCGTCAGACAGCCCAAGACACGATTTATCCACTTAGTCTACAAGTAAGTGGATCATTTCCAGACATAATTGTTTGTAAAGCAGGAATGTTGCATAAGCCTCAATGGACTTAGCAATAGATTGTCAAGTCATGACAGCAGGTCACAATAGACACCCCAAGGTCCACTGGCATTTCAGCATGGGCCATTTCTGTCCATATCAGTCTAAGTGTCTGGTTGGTGCAATTTGCATTGGGGGGATAGATGTCATCTGGTCTGCTGGGCTCTAATGGACTTAGGCCAGCTGTTCTCATTGGATGTGCATTCTTGAAAAGCCCCAAACCTGTAGTATGTGCTTCTGACCCTGAGGGAAGCCCCAAGGCTGTTGTGGTTGGAAGGAAAAGCAGAAGACACTGAAAGAAACAGCTAGGAGTTCGCTGGAAAATGCCACCAAGGGGGCAATGTGTGTGCAAAAGGAATGTGGGTCTTTGTAAAAACAGACAGATCACAATGGCTCAGATTTGTGAGTTTTTTGGATCCCCCCTCTTTTAAGCTGTACTTAAAATTTTATAATGTATAGCATAGCACAGAAATCAAATTAACCATAGCATCTGTTCACCTGGGCTTGTTGACTGGAATGTTGACTGGAATTCCAGCAGCTGGTATTGTTTGGGTGTTTTTTGAGATGCAATTTTAGATGTTTTTAATTATTATATGGGTTAATACTTTCTATGTTGCACACCACCCTGGGCTCTTATAGCAGTAATAGCAATGTAGAAATACAGAAAAAATCATAACATGGTGATTTTTTTTTAACCATATGGGTAGTATTCAACTATGTTTTACTCAGAGTAGAGCCATCAAAAATAATGGGTACAAGTTAGTTGTGTTCATTAATTCCAGTGGGTCTACTCTGAGTAAAGCTTAGTTCAATTCCACTCCATACATGCTTAATTAAATGTGAATAGTCCATAAATTATATGCTTAGGAAGACTTGTAGGAAGTTATATGCCTAGGTCTAGGACATCAGGCAGCTGGTAGAGCACATTAAGTTCCTTTTCGTATGTGTTACACCCTTGCGACCTCTCGCCCTCCCTCCTCCATGACCTCATTGCATCTTGAAGAAGAGGGTCAGTGCTAGGAGGGAGATGGTACTTTTTCACAAACTGAATCTAGTCCAAGGACTTCCAGTTTTTGAATCCTATGCCAGAAGTTCTCTTTTGAAACAAATAGTTAAGATGCATAGATTTGCATGAATTACATTCAGATAACATTGTATTACTCTTTGCCACCAAACTTTTGAAATGCAGTTATAGGTATTAGGAATACTTTGATGCAGATGTGCTTTGCAGAACCCATATAAGATGGTTTTTGTGAGACAATCAAGTCTGTTAGAGACTTCTGATATCTCTGGACAGCCTTTGACTCACTCCACAATACCTACTCTCTGTCCCCTTCCTTCTATAACTTCCACACTTTTCTGAACCCCATCTCCTATCCTGCTATTTTGTCTCCTCTTAGTCCCATCTTCTCCTCTTGATGCATTGACCTCCCTCCCTCTCATCTTCCACTTCTTCAACAAAGCCCCTTCTTGAGATTCCTGCCCTCTCTTTTCTTATCAATTGCCATTTGACATTCCCCAACTCCAGTGTTTAGGGTCAGTTCCTGATCTTCTTCCCTGTCTCAGCACATTCTGCCTAATGAATATTGTAAGCTCCTTTGAACAGGGACCTCATACCATCTGTGTTGTGTACAGAACCTAGCATCTGGTTACATGCTTCATCATACCAGCAGTTATTATTAGCTATTCTACTCCATTCTTGAGAATGAAAGACTTCAAATAAGCTTTGACTCAGACTTTTGCTGTTAGATATCCATGCAGGCAGTAGGCTTTGTAGATCTGTCAATATTTAGGATATCACACAGCCCCAAGCTTTCAAAGAAAGGTCACACCGATTCATTGATGTCAAAAAATATATGTATGCTGAAACGGTAGTAGGACTATTTCTTGTTAACATGGAATCCTGGTATCTTTAACGAGAGGAATAACTGCTACGTACAGCCTTATCGTGGGAATCTTCTGCAATCCATACACAAGCACTTTGGACGTGGCCCAAAGCATTTGCAACTTCACAAAGCATAGTGAAGGAAATGCCACGCTCCATTATCACAGGCATATTGATTGGCGGAAAAGCATAGAACAGGCTTGCCTGGTTTGTGGCTCACTAACAATTGTAGCTCTGGGATGAGAAAAACTCACCCACAAGTAAGTAGGGTTAGGATTGCAGCCATAGGTACATTTAAGACTCTATTATTATTATTTTGTTTCTTCCAGGATAGCAGTTCCACCTTATGCTGTTGCATTATATTCATTGCAAATCTTGAGCTTGATCCTGCCAAAGTGAAAAGTAGCTTTCCCATTACTTTTGACCAGAGAATGTTAACTGTAGCTTGGTCCCATCAATTATTATCTGGATGTGATATTTCCAGCAAAAGCACAAACATTCAGCCTGAATGTGAAGTATCTTTTCCATCACTCCAGTGTCTTGCTGCTTGTTAATTGTCACCATCCCCCCCGCCCCTCTCTCTGTGTGTAATTCATCTAAATGAACTGGTTTTTTAAGATTGTGCTTGCTCAGTTTCTACAACCCACGCAACTTTGGATAATTATGGCCACTAGACATCTACATGAAAACTTTTGCAGTTGTATGACCACTAATTATAAGCCGTCATTTTCCCTGCCTATTTTCCAAACAGATGGGGAAAGTCAAAATGTTAAGTAGCTTCATCTTCTCCACAGGGCTCTTTTGAAAGCTATAAACTTCTGGATAGCATCCAGCTTTCCTCTAGGGCATTACTTCTTGTGTTTCGCCCCTGTCGTGTGGAGGGCAACACAAAAGCAAAGTTAAGCAGGACTCTGCTTAATCGGCACAGCTCTCTCTCTCTCTCTCTCTCTCTCTCTCTCTCTAACTCTCCCCCCCCCGCCGCCTTGGCTCAGCAGAGGTGTGTTACTCAAAGTGGGTTGATGTTTTCAGTATATGTTGGGTTCTAAAATTAAAGCCTGAAATGGTTGGCGATTTTCAAGCTTGTCAGTGTTATCCGTTCAAGGGCTTACTCACAGGCTTTGCACATTCTGATTCTGTGCATCTTTGTAGCTGCCCATACGGAGGATAGTTTTCAAGTCTTTTCCTTTTTTTTAAAAAAAAAGTGGAATTAGAGTAAAAGATGTGCCGAGCTTGCATGAAAGAGATGCTGAGAAAGACGTTTGCATAATAATGTACATTCATAATGTTGGAAATGAACTTCATGATGGAATTAACAAATAGTCAAATCTGACATGGCTCTGTTGTTCTGATTAAGTTACTAGGGGAATTTACCTTCACAGTACTATAGAATGATTCCATTCCTATTGGGTGCTGCAAGGTGTTGTGACATAAAATGAAGACCAGCACCATGCCCTCCTGTTCAGAAATGGGGAGGTCATATGTAGTCATGTCTAAATTAACTATTCTGTAGTATTCGTGTTTAAGTTCACCAATAATAGCTTAGTTGCTTAGAGCGTGGTGCTGAAAATGCCAAGGGTGCAGGGTCGATCTCTGTATGGGACATTTGCATATTCCCACATTGCAGGGAGTTAGACAATATGATCCTTTGGGGCCTTCCACCTCTATGATTCTATGTTAGAGATGGAAACCTTCTACTGAGTTTGGACAGATTCACAGATGCTGGATTCTCAAAGCATTCTTATTCCTGCTTATCAGTACTTCTTGGTTTGTGTACGAGCTTGCTTCCAGACTACAAGGGATCACTATCGCCACCTGGCCATCCTTCCCGTCTGCTATACATCCTTCTCAGTGCCATTATTCTATCTAATTGGAATTCCTTTAATGGAAACTGTAACAGAGAAAAGATGGATGACACAGCTCCAAATGGAATGGTCAGCAGGTGAAATGTTGGCATTGATCTCTACCAGCTGCACAGCTTCGATTATGATGGCCTGCAGTATGTATTTAATAGGCATTAATGTCTCTTGCTTATTGCCTTACTGAGGTATTATGCAAGATACATTGGTAGCCTCCCTCCAACCCACCCACCCATATATTTTCCATTTCTGTTTGGCGTTTGGTAAACCTGAGATTAGCATTACTGGTTTTAAATGGAGTATGCTGTGCTAATCATGTTTCTTCCAACTAACCACAGTGGCTTCCTCAATTGCTGATGTGGTATTTGGGAGTCAGTGATCCTTAAATGTCAGCTTAAGGGTCGAGCTGCAAGGCTTCAGTCCTTTGGCTGCAGATCTTGTTTCCCCCCCAACTGTCTTCATACTGTTAGTCTAGCTGGTAAGAAAGTAGGGGATGTTAAAGATTGTCCTGTTCTGCTTTAATGAGAGAGAGATGAAAGTAAAACAAGTTAAACTAATGACACTTTATTAATAACTAACAGTTTCATAACATTGCTTTGGAATTATAAGACACCCCCCCAAAAAAAAAAAATCTGTGCGGTTTTGAAATTAGTGATTAAAATCAGTTCAGTTTTGAAAGTTTCAGGCCACTATCTGGACTCAAAATGGTATCCAAGTGTCTCCATAGATGAAAAAACCACTCCTTGATCTCAGCACCATACAAACTTTGGTTGTGATAACTTAAGAGGTATCCAAATGCATAACAAACAAACAAACTTGTCTCCCTGGAGGAGTCCCTTGAAAGCTCCTCTCTTCCCACAGAAACACTTATGGGTCTCTCTTAGGTCACTGGTTGGGCCCCATCCTCCCTGTTCTACCTAGCTTTGGTGCTAGTTCCATGTATTCATTTCCGCTCCTCCGTGATCTTTTCCTGTTGCAAATGGAATAGGAATAAAAATGACTAAATAAATGGAATTATAACCTACTATTGAAGAGTATATAATATTATTTGAAAAATCACTTAGCTGACCCATCCACATCAACATACTGAACAACAAAAAAGGGGGATGAATCTGGAAGAGTGCAAATATAAGCAGTCAAAAAACGGAAATAAGAAAGAAGCTAATGAATTCAAAGGGAATGGACAAGACAGGAAGGAAACTGGTAGGGTATGTATGGTCCCTTAAACTGTACAGGAGGTGTTGTTAGGGGCATATCACTGCACAAAGAAATATGAGAAGACCTGCCATGTGGATGCACTGGAATTTTGATACTGCTGGACAGGGCTTAAAAACTCATGGTCCTCCAAATGTTGCTGGTCTGCAACCCCATCAACCCATGAACTGTGACCTTGTTGACTGGGGAGGAAAGGATTTGGGGCCCCACACTACCTGGAGGGCCACAGATTTCCCTGCTCCGCTGTAACAGAACAGAGGAGTTGTGATTTCAATGAATACATAGACTCCCTTGATTTGATGTCCCGCTTTATGCTGCCTCAGAGGCCAGTGCCCATTGTGAAATACTGCTCTTGGTAGCTAATGGTGAGAGACAGCTTCAAGACACAGAGGACACAGTTATACCACCATTAGACACCTCTTATTATTTTAATGGGAGAAATTTTTGACTGGACTGTGAAGAAAGAAATTCCATATAACAGGGTGGAATGTAGTAACACTTCTGATAGATAGGGCCTACAGTCCTTGCATGCATTGTCCATAATCCCATGAAGGTCACTATGATATTTCGGTAGAAAAAGACCATAATAGTGGATGTTTGCTCCGTATATTATGGTGAATGACAAGAGTGTCCAATTGCTGCTACTTCCTTCAGCACACATTTTCTGTATCAATTTCAGTGTTCTGTACCTTCTCAGCTAGAGCAGGCAAAGCATGACAACTATTATTAATCTTGGGACTTTTCCTCTTTTCTTTCAAAAGCATGCATATTGAAATGTACCCACATCCAGTGATTTCCCAGGAGAGTAAACCATCAGCTGAAAGCAGCTGTGTGGCCAGGAACCAGCAGGAGTTTGCGCATTGACACCATCTGAAACTTTCCCTAATGCCCATTTTTTAATTCTTAAAAAAGAAAAAAAAGTATGTTGCTTATTAGATGAAGCACAGTTGGTGTGCTGTTGCTGGAGAAGAAAAAGAACAGCTATAAAGTGGGAGGAACAAAGGGTTTAGAAATTGCAGCTTGAAGGTTGTGGCCCTCATTCCTTAGAGGAATCTTGTATGGTCTCCTGGTTTCATATATTATAGGATAGAAAGGAGGGGGGATGCTCTACATTCAAAATTTAGCAATACTTCAGAATCAGGATTTTACTCAGCTTAACGCCTTATTGTTGTTGTTGTTGTTTAGTCGTTTAGTCGTGTCTGACTCTTCGTGACCCCATGGACCAGAGCACGCCAGGTACTCCTGTCTTCCACTGCCTCCCGCAGTTTGGTCAAACTCATGCTGGTAGCTTCGAGAACACTATCCAACCATCTCGTCCTCTGTTGTCCCCTTCTCCTTGTGCCCTCCATCTTTCCCAGCATCAGGGTCTTTTCCAGGGAGTCTTCTCTTCTCATGAGGTGGCCAAAGTATTGGAGCCTCAGCTTCACGATCTGTCCTTCCAGTGAGCACTCAGGGCTGATTTCCTTAAGAATGGATAGGTTTGATCTTCTTGCAGTCCATGGGACTCTCAAGAGTCTCCTCCAGCACCAGAATTCAAAAGCATCAATTCTTCGGCGATCAGCCTTCTTTATGGTCCAGCTCTCACTTCCATGCATCACTACTGGGAAAACCATAGCTTTTACTATACGGACCTTTGTTGGCAAGGTGATGTCTCTACTTTTTGTGTGTGTGTGCCTTATAGCACATTCCTAATTATTCAGTGCGGCTTAATTTCTGGTAAGTGGGGTTTGGATTGCAGCCTTAGTCACTTGCAGCTAACATGTGCCATTCCCCTTATTAAGTTTACTAGTTTTGTACACAGACACAACAATTTCAGCTTGTACTCTGATAAGACTCTTTGGCTGCATCCGTTTCCAAAGGTCCCTCTCCTAGTTTTGGTTTTCATGATGAGTTCACTTATGTAATCTGAAGTATAAAAGAGGAGCATTTAGAAGGTGCAATCTCTAGAGTCTGGGTGTTGAATAGGGATGGGGTTCTCTGTTTGTCTTTTGATCACATTCCCCCCACCCCCATCGTGGTTCACATTTTCCTGCAAATTTATGAGTCTGGCAGCCCCTCAAAGCCTTTCTATCTGGCCCCAGACCACAATCCTTTCTTGGCCACATGCCCTCTCCTTAGAGAACATCCTTGACATCCTCCTTGAAGATTTTTGCCTGGCTGGAGTGTGTCCTCAAACACTGGTAATGCTTCTCACTTGGCTAGATGGAAGATGCAGGTGTCTTTGTGTGGGTCTGCGGAAAAATTAGCCTACTGTAAGAAGCTAAAATTCACATTCATTGCTATGCCCACTTTCATCTCTGACCCTCCCCCCCCCACTGCCATATGGCTGCCATTAGCCCTTCAAATAAGTTAGTACAACCCCATGGATTTCAATAGGCTTAGCACTCTTCAGTTCCCCCAGCTGGAAATTTACTGATGATGAGAAAGATATACATCTTGCTAAGTCCTGTGCATTTGAAAGCAGTGTTTTAAAATATTAGGCACTATAGATAATTGCATCCGAAGGGGAGGCAAGTGGGCCTTATTTATTTGCAACGTTTCTTAAAATGATGTCTTCCATGTGAAAATGATTCTTCCGAGGTAACGTCACTTTTTGTACAGTAAAATTAAGCTGAGGCTGTCCATCAACTTGACGTGCTGTAAATTGCAAGTTAAAAACAGTTCCAAAGTTGTGCATACATATATATAGCAGATACCAGTCGGGCACATTAGAGATGCCAGAATCCATATTGTGAACAATATTGTGTGAAAATCTAGGACTGTTGCCTGTCACAGCTGTGAAAGTTCAGATATGATTTTTACGCTTAATGAATGTTCCGTTTGGGTGTTATTAGTATCTGGACAGCAAGAAGTGTGTCTGTGTCAGTTCAGTAACTTGTTAATTCCAACCCACCCCCACCAAAGCTTGAAATGCCTTTGTAAAGTTACTGTAGCTCTAGTGTGAGGTCATGTTCGGGGGCATTAGTACCACTTCAGTAAACTTTGAAGCTGACTTGGAGAGTCCTGCTCAGAAAAATTATCTTCAGCGTTTCAAGAGAAGCAAAAAATAGTCATGAAAAGATGAGTAACATCTCCTAGCAAGATCCAACAACAGGCTTTGAATGAGGAGGTGTAACGGGCTGCTCTTCTCCTCTGCCAATACAGTGGTACCTCTGGTTAAGTACTTAATTCGTTCCGGAGGTCTGTTCTTAACCTGAAACTGTTCTTAACCTGAAGCACCACTTTAGCTAATGGGGCCTCCTGCTGCTGCCGTGCCGCGGGAGCACGATTTTTGTCCTCATCCTGAAGCAAAGTTCTTAACCCGAGGCAATATTTCTGGGTTAGCCGAATCTGTAACCTGAAGCGTATGTAACCTGAAGCATATGTAACCTGAGATACCATTGTAAGATGTTTGAGGTGGTATGCACACTCAATCCAAATAATTATTCCCAGTCAATGAATTATTGGGGGAGGGGGGAGAGGATAGTTTTACAGTGGTACCTCGGGTTAAGTACTTAATTCATTCCGGAGGTCCGTTCTTAACCTGAAACT